ACTTGCTCTCAGAGCCTGATGTTGCTCCTTCTGACTTTCCATCTATACAATCCTTAACTCAATGACCTCCAAATTCTTGGCTTAAAACCCCCAGGAGCTCTGCCTGGCCCTCGAGCAGGAACAGAGGGTGGTTGGGAGTAGAGGCAGCAGCTCCCTTACCCTGGCCGCCTCTACTGCAGGAGGGCTTCCCCAAAAACCTGGGGCTCGGCAGCACCTCTCCCTCCTTGAGGGGGAGGAAAACCTCACGTCATGCCACAAAAATGCTCCTCAGCCCTGCCCAAGCCTTGGAGCAATTCCCAGGTGAGTCATGGAGGCTTCTCAGCCCAGGCACTGCAGACAGCCCCTGGGGGGCATGAGGCTGCTTTCCGGGGACCAGAGTCCCATGCTGAGCCGTGGGTGATCTGCTTGGGTTCTGCAGGCTCTCACCCACCTGAATGCTCCTCCATAGAGCGATTCCTGGCTGGACTCTGTGGGCACAGACCTCTCGCCCTGCAGAGGCTTTGGCAGTGCTGGCAGCTCTGGGAAAAGAAAAACACGCCGAGGGCGCAGGCACCTGATCTGAGTGATTTCTTGTCTCTGCAGGCACCATCCAGAGCAGCTCGTGCAGCCTGTTAGCTCCTCACAGGAGTCAAACATATCCTGAGGAGCCATAAAAGAGGAATCCTGCCCGAGAGCCAGCATGGAGCAGAAGATCAGCTCTTTCTTTAATTCCATCTTGGAACTTGTTCGCACCAAGCACAAGGAGGGCATCTTCAACACCGTCTGCCTCGCGGTGCTGTTGGGCCTGCCCTTTGTCGTCCTCATCGCGTCCATCTTCATCTGCTGCCACTGCTGCTTCTCCCACTGGAGGAGACAGAGCACGAAGAGGGACAGCCCCAGCAGCAATGGGCAGCTGCAGGCCGAGAGGAACAAGAAGAAGAAGAAGAAGAAGAAGAAGGATGAGGAGGACCTCTGGATCTCGGCTCAGCCCAAGCTGCTCTTGCTAGACAAGAGGCCATCTCTGCCTATCTAGCAACCAACTCTGATGTCTCCGGTCCTTCCAGCTGTGCTACAAGGAGATGCCCAAACTGCTGCCACTTTATGGTGACTTTGAAAAGAGGCTCAGCCCATCAGTGGGGTATCAAAGGGCCGGCACAGAGCAAGGCCTGTAGACACGGGTTTGTGCCCCCCACCAAGGTGAAACCCTCTGCAAAGGACAGACGGCCTGCTGAGCCACCATGGGGCCATGCTCACTCTCACCTCGGAGATGCAAGGCAAGCCGAGTGCAGCATTACAGTACAGTGCAGACATCCTGGCCCTCCACCCCCAAATCAAAAGCAATACGAGTTTCGCAGGATGCACTCAGCCCAACCTCAGAAACCTCAAGTCCCAACCTAAGGCAGCAAAGCAGAAGGCCATGCTGCCACTCAGCCCAAAGGCAGGAAGGAGCCAGGAAGTTGCAAGACCAGCCCTTTTTCACCAGCACCTAAAAAGTCTTCCTTAAAAGACTTTTTTTTTTTGTACAGACTTGCTTTTAAAGAGCCCATCATACTGCAGCAAAGTCTGCATCACCTGTATGCTACTGCAGGAGCGGAGACGTAAGCTGACACTGTGTAACAGCTTAGCTATGGCTATTAGAGTTATTTATTGAATGACTACTGAAGAGCAGGACCAAAGGCCCCTCTGTTACAGGGCTTGGTGCACTGAATTGCTATTGGAGCAGCAGACACTTTCCCAGCACAGTCCTCCCCATGCCACACATCAGGGGCACGCACAGACCCACAAGCACACACCACTGCCAGCTGCTGCATGGCCATCAGCACAGCTGGGACTGGACCTTGCACTCATCTCCCTCTCCATCTCCTTCCTCTCCCTGGCAAAGCCACCAGCTCCTGGCAGTTCCTTGTGCCACCCATCCCAGTTTGTGCAACTCCAGCAGGGTGGTGGTGCTAACATCACATCACGGGGCTTGGCTCTGTCTGGCTGCACTGGTGACAGCCTCAAAGCTCCTCACCACACAAGGGCTTTAAATTGCCCCCATATGTGCCTTATATTCCAGTTTACTTTATGACCATTGAAATAAGTGACTCCCTCCTCCTCCAAAACAGGAAGCGATGTATAATGGTAGAAAACTTTCAGGCTTTGCCACACGTACATCTGTCCTCCACCCAGGTACTTTTCCCCAGTTTTGGCCAAACCATGCACTGAACCACTGCATCTCAAGACAAAAGCAAGAGAGATGTGTCTATCAGCAGGGTGACAGCCATCTGAGCACCAAGGCAAGAGCAGCATGGTACAGAAACGAGGCTGCACCCCCCCCCCCCCCGCACTGCCTCCCCACAACTGCATTTCAGTATCAGCCTTTTCCTAAAGAGTCCATACAACAGGAGAAAAACAAAACAAAACAAAACATTTTTCTAGCTTTTTTTTTTTTTGTACAAAAAATAAATGACTAAAACTGCAAACAAATGCTGTGCCTCTAGCAGTTGTGTTTATTTTCATGGGGAAATTTTTCTTGTATCTGTTCCCTGGCCGTAGATAAGACGCTGGGAGGGCTTAGTGGTCAGATGTGCTGTGCCTCTCTGCCTGCAGACAGCTGTGCAGCTTGAAGTTTTCTTAAAGAAACAGCTTAGCTTAATCAAATTTATTAGCCTCGCCTTGTTAATGAACACAGTCAAGCTCCTCTCCCCAAGGGCAAAAAGTACTGGGAAAAAGAAAAGCAGCATTTCAGGCTGCAGGGAAGGGGTTTTTTTGTTTTTTTTTTTTCCCCCTCTGTGTGAAGGCTCTGCAGCACAGGGTGAAACCCAGCTGATTTCTATCAGACAAGTATTTCGTGGTGTCTGCAGCTCCTCGTAGCTGTCTGCACTGGGCATGAAAAAGGAGCTGAGTTCTTCCAAATGGCACGGTGGGCATCTGTACCACTAAGTAATTAATCCCTCCATGAAAACGAATGAAAATAAAAACTGTCTCTCACCTGGATGCTGCACTGAGGTCCTGCACAAAAGCCACAGAGCTCTGGGAAGGACTGGCAGGAGGAGGGGGGGCTGGGAGGAAGCTGATATTAATTTTTGATTGTTCCCTGGAACAGCCCCAGGGATTGAAAGGGTGCCAGAATTGCCCCATATAGTCCCTGAAGTCCCATTAGGAGGGGAGAATTGGATTCTCAGTAACCATTCTTCTATTTCTTCAGTCAACGAAGCCTGAAGCAGCAACCAAAAGTAGGGTGGCTACTTTCCAACCAAGTGCCCAGTGTGGTAAGACACTCCCATCTTCTCCTCCTGTGGCCCAGTGAATGCTGAATTACAGAGTCCAGTGCCTTTAGGAAGCAGCCACCTCTCCCCAACAGCAGCATTTTGCAGAGTCCAGCCCTCTGGATGGAGCAGTGGCCATGCTGAGACCCTGATAGAGCTGGGTTTGCATGACCCATCAGCTGCATAGTCCTGGTCAATTCAGTGATGCCAAGACAGCACATCTTCTTTCCAGGATTCAAATTCTACCCCAGGCATGTTGCAAACCCCTCTGTCTATGAAATTTAAGTGATTTTCCAGCAAGGCAGAGGCTTTGAGAAGTTGTTCTGGTCCTGAGGTGTTTGGGGTTGGGTACAGCAACAAAACAAGGGCACTAGGAGGATGTGATTTTTTTTTTTTTTTTTTTAAATTGGACTACTCCAGGAAGCCCAAATCTTTAAACCAGACCAGCCGGCTCCTGCAGTCAAAGAAACTGCTTTATCAGAGCAGTCCCAACCTTTAAATCTGTGATACAGTCTGATTAGCCCTCAAAACATCTTTCCATGGAGGCCAGCTGGATACAGGACTGGTTCTCCTAAAGCAGCACGAAGAGAGGATGCCATCCTGTGGCTGTCTGGAAATACTGGCTTCCCACGTAAGCTGTGGTCCCTGACTACCCTTCCTAGTGAAGGAGACAGGCCTGCACTTCAGAGAAACAAGTGCCAATCCAGAAGCTCCTAGTAAGGTACCTTTCTTTTCATTCTAAAATACAAAGCTCAGCCTTCTTAAGAGAATATTCTCTGCTCCCAGGTAAGATTCAGGTTTGGAACGCAATTGAGCTTTGTCTTTGCAGTGCGCACATGAAAGTGCTGCTGGGAGAGATCACATCTGTTACCTTTTAGAGCATAGGCTTGCTTTTAGAGGCTCAGTGTAAAACATTTAATCCTCAAGTCCCCCTTAGTTACCTGCTCTCTGGCTGACCAACAAAGTGAAACCTGCCCTCATCTGAGCAGTGCAGAGGAACCACTTCAGCACAATACTCTCCCCCTCCTTTTCCCATTTCCTTCCCTCATGCTCTTAAGACAGAGTTGCAACTTCAAGTGCAACTTTCCTCCTTCACTCATGCCAAGGGGAATGGATAGCCTAATGCAGCTCTGCTGAGTCTCTGCCTGCCCACTCATGCAAGTAGCATGGAAATGGAAGTAAAACAAAGAATTTAGACCTCACTTGTGAGAGACAACTCCCTGGCTAGCTCACCTCAGCAAAGTCCTAGCAGCCAGAGATCAGTTACCTTCTTTGCAGTATCAAGTAATGAAGTGATCACACAGAGCCCCATCCCCATTTTGGAAATTCTAGAGAACTAATTTTCACAGCACTAGTTTTTCCACATTGCTCTGCAATGCTACAGGCCTGGGTATTGCTCCACCTCTGTAAATAAAGCTTAGTTCAAACTGAGAAAGAATAATAATTCTGACACTCAAAGCAAGGAAGACAGAAATATTTTAAGACCTCCTTTATCTGCAATTTTGTTGCTTCTTCAGAGTCAGAGGACTCTTTAAAATGTATTAGTCAGCTTAGCACTGGGATAGAAAAAGCCATTAAAGCATAGGACAATCATGTTCCAATCTGCTCAGACAAGCAAGCCTTTAAGTAAGCACCATTTGGTGAGTTCCTATTTCTCCCCTGCATGAGGCTGGTGGTCCAGAATTTAAATATCTGCTCAGAGTGAGAAAGTAAGACTTCTTTTTTTTTTTTTTTTTTTTCCCTCAGACCATAAAGAAAACAGCTAAATGTGAAAACAGCTACTGGAGCCTCCCTGAATCTCCAGACACCCTGAAAGAAAAGCCTAAGGGAGAGTGTGCAGGTCCATTTAGTTCTGTGATGCTAATTTTAGGGCTGGATGACAAACATTACCTTTTCAACATCGCTATCTATCTACACTGCTAATGAAAAAGCAGAGGCTGGCAGATGGGATGGTCACATGGAGAATTTTCTTCACAGTCTGTATTGAGCAAGGATTATACAGAGGTTTGTGATTGTGAGACACGCTCGGAGGAGAGTAGCCCTTACATTTACCTTCTTTGGGGCATCACCTGGGAGTGTGAACATTCCTTTACTGCATGTCTCCTCAGGCTTTACTTTGGCTGGGAAATAAGAAGAAACAAGCTAAATATATGTCAGGATATTACCCTGGAAAGATGTTGTATTGGAGGTTGAGGAACCCAGACTACAGGCTTTGCTTGCATTAATGAGGCCTGTTGTCAGCAGCTTGACAACATTTCCCAAATCTCAGTGCCTTGATTGGAGAAAAAGAAAGAAGTGCTGCACTCCAAATGATGAGGGGAACGGAAAAAAAGAACCACTGACCAAGAGATGAGGGAGAAAACAGTCTCAGAAAAGCTCTCTAATGTAAATCAGAAAGATTTCATTTTTCAGTGAGATCAAAATGAAGTTCTTTGAAGTCTGAACTGGACAGAAGTCAGAAGGACAGAAATCAGGAGTCAGCCAGCTGGGTTTTGAGAAACAATAACGTGTTAAAGCTTGTTTTATGAACAATTCATAAAAGTTGCACACATTGGATCAAGCAGGTCCTTGTCACGTTTAACCAGGAAAGCTACAAGTGGCATGCCGCCCACAAGTCCCCTCCCAGTCTCTGACAGAGCACCCACCAGGACCTCCAAAGGCTGGAAACAGGCTGGGCTGCAGATTCAGAGACTTCTGGGTCCAAGCTGGGTCAGCAGCTGCTTCCAAAGTAGTGGAGGAAGTCATCCAAACCTAATTTTGTTAACAAATACCAAATCATAATCTTCAGGTGCTGTCATGCACAGAGGACAATTTAAAATGTGATCTTCTTCGTTTTTCCTCGTAGAGATCTCTTCTTCCTTGCCAAGACTGACTCATTACTAGAAGACTGAGGACGAATCTTCATCTCAGTAAAAGGGATGGAGAACTCATGGCCCTTCCATGGCTCCCAATTCACTCCCTGCAAAAAGACCATATAATTTCTTTTAGTAAAATACTTAGACCAGGTGTTTGGAGTCTGCCACTGCCCCTTCTAATGCCATTTCATCTTTCCACAAACAGAGACGTTGTTTTCCACCAGATTTTTTTTTTAAACCATAACCACAGTCAGTATTCTAGATGCTCCTAATACAAAACTAAATCTCTATCCATACAATCTGGAGCTCAACAGGACTGTGTTATCTTCCAGCACAAATCAGGCTGTACAAGGAGATGTAAACAAGGAACACACTGAAAGCATCCGACTTCTTTTCCCTGTTCTTCTCTGAAATTAAGACAGCTCCACCTTAGGTGTCTCTGTCCACCACAAGAAACAGGTTTTGAGCTTAAGCCCTTCAGATTCTAGGAGAATCCATGAGTTTCTTTATGGGTCATTATCCTTTAAAACAAAATGAGTTCAAATAGCATGGGCAACCTGTCCTGCTGCAACTCCCCCCTCCATATGTTTTTCCCAGGCTAGAGAGAAGAGCTGACAGTCAAAGCTCTGCCACTCACCTCACTGTGCTTGCTCTCCCCATATTTCCCATTGAGGTTGGCCAAGTGGCAGTTCTTGTACCACCACGCACCATGGTGCGTCAGAGCACAGTTGCTGAGAGCCACATCATTGTCTCTGTCCCACGTTGTGAACTTCCAGCCATTGTGGTAAGTCATTGCATCTCCTAAGAGAAAGGATTACAGGCATGGGTAAGAGTAAGGGTGTGCAGTGGCTCAGCCCGAGCATTTCATGCGGCCTTCATTAGGCAGAACACAGAAGGCCTGTCAGGAAAAAAGCAATGGCATGCAATAGATGTAGAAAATAATTTCTAATTGGCTGCTAATAGAGGGCACGTTCATGGACTGGATCCTCTGGGGCCTGAAGATCTCAATCTCAGGGCAGTAGGGTAACAAAGGATAAGTGGAAGACTATGGACACAATAGCAGTGGTAGAAGCCAGCACCAGGACTACTACTGCTTAGCAAAGTCTCCTTCTGAACAAAAGCCACTTTCTTTGCACTTCTTAGCTGGGGAGCCCCAGAAGTTGCTCCTCCGTGAATTGATAATCTCATGAAAATGCTTCAGGTCTGCCTGTTCAGCTGTGGTGTTTCAATGGGTCACAGAGCAGCTCTCTTCTCTGTGAAAGAACAGCTTAATCGTGTCCTCAGCAGAAGACAAGTCTGAAGGGGTACATCTCCTCAGTCCTCCTGGGAAATACAGAGTTCTCTCTTCAAAAGGAGGGACATGCAATCTAACTTCAACTAAGGAGCTCCCACGCTACAGGCAAAACAAATACTTAAATCCCAGCACTTGCTCCCCTGCATGGCGCAGACAGAACACGTCTCAGGCACTCCTCACCAGCATTGCCTCTGTAATTCCCCACGGACAGCCTGTATCTCTCCCTGCTCGAGGCAACCTGGAAGAAGTCATAGACAGCATAGGCAGACTCGTTGGCTGTCCGCAGATCCACCCGCAGCTCATAGTGGATGGGGCTGCTGCTTGTGAGATTGTGCAGCTGGTCAAGACCTAGAAAGAAGGAAACTACTGTTAAAAGGGAAAGGCCTGTTCACCTTTGCAGTCCTGGAATCTCACCCCGTGGCCATTTTGGTTCGATCAGCTATTTCCTGCCTGCCTCCCATATTGCTTGATGCTGTCATGACATTGTGCCAAGTTTATGCTGTCTTATCCCATTTTCTGGCAAGAGATAGCAATGTCAGAAAAAAGAAAAACAAAAAACAGTTTAAAGCAGCACAGGACAGACTGTGCAACAGTATTTTTCCAAGAACATTCAAAGACTCTTGCCCCAAAGACCTTGGCTTATTTAGGGCTGGATTCTCTGATGCAAGCAGTTATCTAACAAAAAAAACTGAGCACACTGTGTTTTGTGTAATAGCTTAGACTGTGCATTTTCATTAACACAATGTCTTTATTTCTCCTTGCATAGGAGCATGCATGCCTGCAATAAATATTTCCTCAGTTTGCCTTGTTCTGCGACTGTTATAAATACCAAAGATGCCAATGGAAAGACTTAGCTGGCCTTCAGAGATACTCATGGCTTAAATGGCACTTCTAAGAAAGACATAACAGCTGACAAGTCAGGACTGCAGACTCAGCAGGGTCTGACCATTTCAGCATTTAGACGCCTCTACAAAGCTGATCTGCAGCAGTCACACCCTTGTACTGTACCAAGCCAAAATTCCCCAGTGGGATCTCCAAAGCCTTCCACATAATTTTTCCAGCGTTTGTAGAAATCCAGTTCACCACTGCTCCGCCTCTGAAACACCTGCAAGGCAAGGATTGCTGAGTGAGAGCTCATGGCAGATATTTGAGAGTCAAGGAGGGTGGGGGTGAAAAATCCTCATCCTGATCCAAGTACAGTCAGAAAGGTGAATTGTTTGGGAACAGATACATCTAGTTAAAAGGTATGCTGCAACTGAGCAGGATACATTACCATTTTCTGATTGCACAGAAGCACCTGGGGTGAGTACTCTGTAGTACAAATTTTGCACTTTTCCACAAATGCCTGGGGGCAGCAAAAATCCCAGTGTGATCTCAGCACCTGGACAAGTCAGGCTTAGGGTCAAAACCCACAGAGACACCTAGGTATCTAAATTTCACCAGAATCCATGGGCCACAGGCAGTAACACACAATTTGTTTCAGTGGATCACTGAAAATAAAAGGTAAAGAAGTGAATAAAGACATTTTTATTTGTTTGTGTAGGGAGTCAGCTATCAGAGAATCTCAGATTCGTTATCTCACCCTTATACAAATTCACCACCTCAAAGCGTCTGTGTTTCTGCCTCCAGCTGCTCTCCATCCAGGGGCATGCTCACAGTTCTAGCATTTAAAATATGATCATCAGCTGAACTGCATTAACTGTCCATACTTGTAGCCTTTCACATTGGTCAAGATGAGATAACAGAGCTTAGTCCATTCATTACAAAAGACTTTTAAGTTGCTCTACCTTGCCTTGCACTTTCATAGAAAACTCGTGTGCCCAGCTAGCAAGAGGTAGCGTCAAACTGGCATTGCCTCAGTCCGCAATAATATAAGCCTTGAGTCACATTCATGACTAAGCAATCAAAGTTCAGCATCCCCTTGTTTCTGAGCCGTCCAGCCTTCCACAGTATTCCTGCTCTCGGTCTGAAAGGGTACAACAGCATCCGCTCCCTTCCTAAAACATGCTCCTCCATCACAGGAGGAGCTGAAATACAGCACAGTAGACCAAAAGGAACATCAGCTAAGCCCATTACCAGGTTCACTTGATGATGCTCATTAAAAAAAATTTAAAAAGTAGCAGAGAATCACTCACTATCCACCCGCCTCCATCAGTGGTCATGTCACAGTACACCTGCATGGGCCTGCTGCCATTGCCATTGAGATAAATGGTGTACAGGCCGCTGGAGATGTTTCCATTCTGCTGCATCTGGGCACAGTCCGCAGGGTACGGGTAGAGGAAGCTAACTGGGAGAAGAGAGAGCAAAGCTGGAGGAGCCATCTCACACCCCTAGGAATCTCTTATGGACAACAGTACTGGAAGAGAAGTAAAGAAAGCACCCAGCTGCATCAGCAGGTAGCTGTTGGCAGCCTTCCCCACTGCTCAGAAGCTGAAGCATGGATGGGGTCACCAGAGGCTGCAGGAGATGCTGCCTTGGGTCACAGTGAGAGCAGGAAGAGAAATCCTGGTTTGTGAAAGTGGGAACGCCAGTAAGAAGGCATTTTATCCGCATCTCACAACCTACCCACAATTGGCAGCCTCTGTGAGGACCAGCTCAATATAAGAGGCACCCACATCAAGGCATGAGAATATTTGACTTGCTGGCATCCAGGCATACATTTCCTGATCTCTGGAAACAACCAGGCAGCTACTCGGGACCACAACAGTACTTACACAACTGCTGGCCTATCATTACTGTGACAGTGCTGAAAAATCCCTAGCCCGTTATCTTCTCTCCTGCCCAATGGCAACTCACCAGGAGGCTTTGCCCTGCACTTGACCAGCAGGGTTTGGCAGAAGCATTGACCAGTGTGGGCAATTTCCTCTTGCACTATCCTGTTGGGATTCCAAAGCTCTGGACAGTGTGGCTTAGAACAGAACCCAGCCAGAAGACAAGTTTTCAACTCACTAAACAATTTGCTTCTGATCACATTGTTTCCCAGAACAGGAATTCCTTCTCAGACCTCAACCATAAAGACACAACAGCTGCAGAGCCCACGGAGCAAGTGCAACACTCAAGACCAAATCCTACCTGTTGAGAAGGTACCGACTGTCTTTCTGCTCTGGTGATCTCCCTTATAGGCCATCACAAACACAGTGTACTTTGTTCCTTGTTCCAGTCCTTCCAGCACAAACTGTTGTTCCCTAGGACCCAGCTGCACTTCCTGCCAAATAAAACAGACTGAAGATCAACCCAACTCTGTACAACACTTAGTTTTTCTGGACCACAGTGCCTCACACTCAGTAACTATTTATAGGCTTTTCTTGTAGGAGTTCAGATAGGCATACACTAGCTGCATATCTTTAAGACATGAAATCCATTTCCTCAGGAGAAAGGTTTGATGCAGGGTCTCAATAAACACTGTTAAAATACTGAAGACACTGTGTCCCTGGTTAATGCTGCTTTTTCATGTAGTAACAAGTTAGAAAAGGGAAGTGAAGCAGTAAACTTGTTCTCTGCGTCCTGAAGATCTGCTGGAAAGTGGTATCCACTGTCTCAGAGTCTCTCCACAGCTTCTACTCATAACAGTAGCACATTTCCTCAGGCTCTGCCTCCCCAGGCTAATAATGGCATAGATTCCACCTCAAAATTATTTACCTGTGGTCCATATACCCACAAGATTCAAATGTCAGAGCCTATAACCATAAGGGTGATGTCAGTGAGTTCTGCAGGGCTGAGGAATTCACTGTACCTTGCTGGTGCCATTTTGACCCTGGTAGGTCAGAGTGTAGCCATCAATCTGTGCTGCAGGAGGAGCCCAGGTAACTACACCAGTAGTCTGAGTCACATCAGACACATGGAGGTTCCTGGGAGGATCAATCTCTATTGAGAAAGAAAAGAAAATTCAAGTCCCTCTGCATAAAAGAAATACAGCAGTTCCTGTGCTAAACTTGGGCTGAGCTTTGCAATGCCTGATCCTGTGAACTGGAAACTACAGAAGTCACTCAGTGAAGTTTGCAAGCAACAGAAGCCTACAGCAACCATGGCAAGATCATCACAGATTTGGTTTGTGGTTTTGTGAGCCCTGCAACTGGCTCAGCTGTATAGAGACTCCCAGGGGCTGAAAGCTCCTGACTCATCTGTCTGAGAAGTCTGACAATTATTTTTAAGCAACACTAATTCACAGCAGGTGTCAAAAAGCATCTGTCTTACAAGATACCCATAACAAGGCTCCAGTGCTTCCCTCGTGATAAAACCAAATTGCTAAGCTCATCTGGAAGTAATAACAATGGAAGCAGCCTCTCTCAAATTTTCATCCTATGCTTGCTATTCTGGTGTTTTGGGAACGTCTTAGAGAAAACAACTTAAGCAGTAGGACTGTGTGGCCTTCCACATTTTAGAAAGAAGGCATTTGGTGGGCAGTGCTAGCCTTGAGGGAAGAGTGCTCCAGCCCTGAAGAATGCCTGAGTTTATAGCAAACTAGAACTGAATAATTCAGAACACTTTCCTGTTCTTCCATGGACCTCCATGGGAGGTGACAAGCATGCCACTTAGCTTGCTCATTGATTCAGTTCTTCTCTGTATAAGCCAAGCAGTAACACTTCTCATATCTTGGAGAGTGTTATGAGAACAATCATAACAGTGATTATAATGCAACAATGAAATATTACAAGTTATGAAAAGGCCACAGAGGAAAACAAGGCCAATATTTTGGCCTTTATTAGATAAACAAGAAGAAGAGAACAGTACAGCTTCTCTACATTCCTGGAGTATGGGGCTACTGCTTAAAAAAAAAGACATAAAAACAGAAAAGAAAAAAAAATAAATCAAAACATCAGATAAATTGAATCAACAAAGACATTAACTCTTAAGTTGACAGAATGTGCTGCTTAAAAGTTGAGTTATTCATTATAAATGAAATCCACCATTCACTGAGACAAGCATTTGTTTGTTATTAATCAACTCCTACTTCATACAAGAGACCACCACACAACTGCTTTAAATTAATGACTCCATTCTTATGACACGTGTAATAATGTATTACTCATTACATGTGTACCACTCCATGGACAGAAGAGGGAGCTAAAAGGTGCCAAATCCAACGCGAGAAGCAAGTGCTGGGAAGCCTCCAGGCAGGACTTGAATTTTACAGCACTGTTCCTGCAGCTTCCCCAGGTGAAGGATATAACTGCAGAATAGCTCCCTGCTACAGCATATTTTAGGAATGTTAGTGAGTAAGCAGCCAGCACGTAGAGTTAAAAACGTGTTTGTTTTTTTTCAGGAGTTGGATTATTTTACCAGAGGTGTCACATTTTTTTTTTGAAAAACACCACCAAGATGGGGGAGTGGGGGGAGGGAAAGAAAAAAAAAGAAAAAGCACTTTTTAATGGGCACGGATATTTCTAAAACGCCCCTACTGAAGCTAAATGCATTCCCTCTCTGGGCAGTTTCAATTCATGTGAAATTTCTAGGTGCATCCATTTTCATTCTAGTTGAAAAAAAAAAAAAAAACAACTTCAATTTACTTAAATTTTCCTTAAATTTTTCAGTTAAAGACAGGCTTAGACACTTGGCCTTAAGAGATATCCTTTTATTTCCACGTGCTGCCCTTGCCCTCTGCAAGCACTGGGGATCTGTCTGGCACCTTGCCCTGAGTTCAAGCTTTATCTTTTCTATCTCACACCAGCTTGACTCAGAAACTAAGAAAAAGCACATTAGCAAGGCCAACAGATATGGAGTGACCCTGAAATATTGCCAGAACACCATCATCCTTATAGCTGATTGAACAAGATAGATTTAAGCCTGTTTTGCAGTCTCCTAGGACAGTCTAAGGTCATGAGTCAAGCCATTATTTTTTAACTGCCTCCGAGTCTAAGGTGGTTTAACTTTGGTTGTTAAATGTCTGTTATTGTTACACTTGATAGCAGCGTACAAAGCAGTGCATGCTTTTGATTAAGAAGTGAAATAAGCTGTGTACTCAGCTGTCACCATTCTGTGTTCTGACATCTGTCTCTTCTACAGCAGCCTCTAATAGCAGTTTCTGTTATGTCAGGCTATAATCATGCACTTATCTCCAGAACGTATTTACCACAGTAGATCTTCATTACCCAGTAATGCAAAGAGAGATCATGGAAATGTAAATTAACAAACAAGTGGGGTTCTTCTACTCTGCTTCTCTTCTCCCCACAGTTACCTGTCAGCGCATCAGTGCTTGCCCTCTTGCTCTGCATGCTTCCCAGCTCTGCCCAGAGATGAATGGTGTACTTCATGCCTGCTTTCAGTCCTGTCAGAGTTGTAATGCTCTCAGCCTTCCCCACTTCTATTTCCTTGGTGCCCCCATCAGCAGAAGTGTAGCTCACGATATACCTATCTATGGGAGCTCGGACGCTATCCCAGGAGATTGTGGCTGAGTCTTCTGTCACTTGGTCAGTTACCAGATTCTTTGGGCTGTCCAATTCTAAAAAGTCAAGTGTAAAGTATGAAGTATAAGGAACTAAAACACACACATGTTGCTCTTAAAAGCTTTAGCTTTCTATAGCCCCATGATACAGATGATGGACACCGTGTCTGCCTTCAAGCTAATCAGGATAGTGAGACCGGCAACCTTCTCTATCTTTTCCTCATTTCTAGAAAGCTGCCAGGCAGTCAGTTTTCAGCCTAATTAAGCATCCAGATCCTGCAAGCAACGGCCTTCATGACATGAAGTGAATTACTGATACTTGAGAGACTTATTCTGGGCTCAAAAAATTCTTCACCCTCTTGGGTTGTGGAAGATGAGTAAAGTGGGGCTGCCTCCTTCCAAGCCTTGATTCACTGGCTAATGCCATTCTTATCAGTGGCACATAATTTTAAGTAGGATTCAACAGTAGTATTCAGTAGTATTCAACAGTACTGTGGAAAAACACTCAGCCACACCTACAGAGCTCAGAATATCTGGAGACCAAAACCAGCACATATGGCTGGTAAGTGAGGGCTACAGTGCTTTAGCAAAGCATAATGAAGCTCATACTAGTCTGACAGTTTCTAAATCAGTTTTTAGTTCCTGCAAGCAATTAAAATCTTTTCTCTTGACTTGAGAGAAGGCAGTATTTCTACCCGAAGCTTGAAGTGCCTGTAGTATGAATGTTTCCACATCATAAGCAAGCACAAGATAAATTGCTGTCTAGTACAGGCTGCAACAGAAGGAAGCAGGCAGGGTAGAAACAGATCTCCTTCACAACATAGGACAGAACCACAAGGATTCTTCTAGAATACCTGTCACTGCCTCAGTGCTGGTTCTCTTGCTCTGCCGCACTCCCTTCTCTGCCCAGAGGTAGATGACATATTCAGTGCCAGGTTTCAGTCCTACCAGAGTTGTGGCAGTCTTGTTCTTCCCCACTTCTATCTCCTCAGTATCACCATCGGCAGAGGTGTAATTCACCACGTACTTATCTATGAGAGCCAGAACCCTGTCCCAGAAGATGGTGACTGTGTCCTCTGTCACTTGATCAGTTACCAGGTGAGTGGGGCTGTCAATTTCTGCAGAGAAGAAACAGTCAAGAACGCAAGATGTCACAATCAGGCTGGGTTGTGACACCACAAGACTCCTTCCCCTCTGGGGCTGGTTTCTCCCTTTTTTTTTTTTTTTTTTTTTTTTTTTAAATTTTTTTTTTTTTAAGAGACCCAGGTACTCTTTTACTCATTTCTCTTCAGCAAGTCCCTGATTAAGAGCATGGGTCTTGTAAATGCTTACAACTGCTTGTAATGGATACACTCATCTTCACAATGTTATAAGCCAACAACGGGCAGAGCACTCTATCATCTTTACCAGGACTGACCACAGAAGAGAGAACAAAATGGTAAGAACAACTGAGGAACTTGGACGAATTATCCTGTTGCAAGAAAAAAAAAAAATAAATCCTGCACGCTGTTACTCTGCACTTCAAGTTGCCCATCTGCAAAAAGGAACTGAGCATTTACTTAACCCTTGAAAAAGGACAAACCAACAAACCAAACTAAGACCAGACAAATACATGATTGATGCGAGAATGGAATAGCATCATTTTCACAGGTGAAGACCACTAACACAATTAATCACCATGCAGCCTATCTGTAGTACATACTGGTAATTATGATCTCTCTGTGATAAAGTTGAATGGGCTTCACAGCAAGATGCTTTAACCCAAAGATTGTATCTCTTAAGCTTGAATTTCCCTTTGTCACAAAAATGAGAGACTTATTCAATGTTAAGGCAAACCCAGACTGTAGCTTATACTCTCAACCTACTGCCCTCTTACCTGTCACAGCCTCAGTGCTGGCCTTCTTGCTCTGTTGTTCTCCCTTTTCTGCCCAGATGTGAATAACATACTCCATGCCTGGCTTCAGTCCTGCCAAGGTGGTGATATTCTTGTCTTTCTCCACTTCTCTCTCCTCTGTATCCCCATCAGCTGAGGTGTAATTCACTCTGTATCTGTCTATTAAAGCCTGGACTTTGTTCCAGGAAACTGTGATTGCATTCTCTGTCACTTGATCAGTCAACAGTTTAGTGGGGCTGTCAATCTCTGTAAGTAAAATTCTTTGTTAGAAGTTTCAGCATAGCACTGTGGTAATCACAATGGTCTGAAGATACAGACAACATAAGTTTTGTAGGCAGAGGCAGTATATTTTATTAGACTAACATATATTTTGAAAAACAGATGAGCTTTGGGAAATTATTCTGTGCCCAAAGATCTGGAAAGAGCTTGTATGCACAAAGACATTTGTAGGTAGTCAATAGAATCTGCTCCTGCATGGCCATGTGAGAATACATCAGGCTTGATTATAAAAAATGAACAAAGCAGTGCTTTGAGGGGTTTCCCAAAAGAGCTGCAGATGTTGCTCACATGCCCTTACAACTGAGTATCCCTATCACCATGTGACTGTCCTGTTAAGGAGATTTGATTCCCCACACAATTTCTACCTTATGCCATGAATACGAATATATTTCATTTTTCCTTTTTAACAAACACTGTCACGATTGACTCTGCAACACTTCTATGATCTCACTTTACTACTGGGCAAGGTCACAAGAACATCTTGGAGGTGGTTGATGGTACTTTTAAGACATTTTTAATGTATCACAGTTCTAAGGCTTTAGTATTCATTGTGTTTAACCATTCTCTGTACTGACAAAACTGGTGCCAAGCCATAGTGTCTCCACACAACAGGACTCACACAAAGAACTTTCTGCTAAGCTGGAGATTTATCAGTCACACTGATAAGAATTAAATGAATTTGACTTGCTAAACTTGTGCAATACAGAAGCTGTACTGAAACAAGTAAAATTAATAAAGGTCTTTGAAATTCAGACCCAGTTTACTCCTGCTGCCACTGCAACTTACCTGTCAGAGCTCTGGTGCTGGCTTTCTTGCTCCTGTGGGGTCCCTTCTCTGCCCAGATATGGATGGTGTATTCCATGCCTGGCTTCAGATTCAATAAGGTGATGATGCTGTTTTCACTGCCTACCTCTGTTTCCCGGGTGTCTCCATCAGCTGAGGTGTATCTCACCATGTACCTGTCTATGGGAGCCTGAACTTTATTCCATGAGACAGTGGCTGTGTCCTCCGTCACTCGATCTGTCACCACATTGGTTGGGCTATCAATTCCTAAGAACAGCATTTTGAAATGCAGGATTAGGAAAGTCCATATAAATTCAACCACTACAATACTTCTCACGGCATGAGAAACTGAAATTTCTTCAAGATTCCTTTTGTAATATAATGAATAGCTCAAAAATGTTTTGCCATATTTTTGAAGAGCCTGAAGCACCAATGAACCGACAGGTTTTCCAGACTTGTTTAAACATTCAGCATGCACTACTGTTCAGTTCACAGTCTAATAAACAGAAAAATGATGCTGCAGCCAGGGAATACAGGAAGGAAGAAGAATTTACCCTCCTCCTTACTGTTCCTAGGCTCAGGAGCCAAACAAATCGCTAGCAGCTAACAGCTGCAAAACAGTCAGCAGCAGCAGCAGCCATACCCAGACTGGAAATCATGTGTACATGGTTTCAGTGAGGTCATCTTGTCAATCATCTGGTTAGGGAACTCAACCAGCAGAACCTCCTGAGCTCATTTCAGATTAAGAGTAAAGTAGGTTTAAAAATCAAGGGCTAGCTTTAGTGTTTAATAAACAGAAACAAGCTTAAATGAGGTAATAGCAGCCCTGACAGCAGTATGCATGAAGAAACAGTAAACTGAGTACCTTTCACATTGTGACCTTGACAGAATTGTCCCTAAAATCTGTAGTAAAATCATTACCATAAAAGAAACATTCCACCTACCTGTCCTGCCACTCACTGAGGATGGTTTACCCTCTGTATCATCTTTCACAGGTATGACAGTAACCTCATACTCCATGCCAGGTTTTAGGCCTGTAATCAGAAGGTAATTTTTCTTAAAAGCTGTTTTGTTTAGTCTCCCCAGTTCTAGGTTTGTAGCAGAGAAGCATTTAAAAATGTAGATATCTATCTAAACTTCCTCTTGTCTTGAGAATGCCTTGGAAGCATTCTTGGTCCAGTCTTGTCATTAGGGTCCGTATTAACTATAGCGAGGATTTCTGTAACATTGGTATTTCCAGTTCTGAAATAAAAGAACATGCTTTATTTTGTAACAAGGATAGAATTAAAGCTGTCAGTCTTGAAAGCTGCTATCCACAGTGCACAGAAAATTTCTCCCTGTTGAAGGACTCCCAGCAGATCTCATCCTGGCATACAGTGGCCTCAAGGTGAAGGAGAACACAACAGAGAAGAGTCATCTCAGAACTGTGATAAAGACAAATCACTTGTACCATCTCTGCCTGCCCAATATGGAATAGTCATAAGTACTCACCAGTCATGATGTGTCTGCTCTTGGGGTCACTGCTTTTGGGCACCATGACCTGCTTCTCATCCATGCCCACCAGGGATCTGAATTTCAACTTGTAATAATCCACATCTGTTGGTGGGTTCTCCCACTCTACTTCCAGGAAATACTCCATCTCCTCCGTCACCCAGATGGCACTGAGTGCAGATGGGACTGGGAAGGACAGAAAAGCGTGCCAGGAAAAAGCAGCACAACCATCAGAAGGTGAATATAAGATAGGAAGTTGCTGAACAGACCTTCTCCCTCCTCAGATAACTGCTCTGAGACCTAAGCCATTTTCCTCAGCCAAACTTAAGATTTAAGTGAGTATGGCACAACCACTATCTCAACAGGAGTTGTCTCATCCACAATAACACTCTGATTCAGGAGTTCTCTGGCTCTCAGCTCTCAACCTGTTACGCTAGAGCTAAGAAAAAATGTCAAAATAACCCGACTTTTCCATGTTTTTACCAAGTGCAGGCAGACAGCATGCTACCAGCTACTAATAAAATGGCATTCACTTATAGAGAGTCTGCTTCAAATTCAGTCTTTCCACACCCAGCTCGCTGTTCTCAGTAGCATCTGATTCATTCAGTCCTATGAGGAGACTATGAGGAAAGTTTGCTACTGAAGGCATGTCTGGCAAGTGACACTTAGAAAAGATGCCCTCCCTACTTTGAAGTCCCTCCTTCATCCAGTCAAACAGTGCACTACTCTTAATAACATGCTGGCTTTTGGTATGCTTCCTGCAGTGGGCAACATCATTGATTCCCTGGAATTCAGAAGTGTCTATGCCAGTCAGATTTGGAAAAGATAAAAGGAGACACAGGAAATTTGCAATGCATTCAGTTCCAGAAATACAGATCTATAAGCAGATTCTCCAAAAGAGAACAATAGCAAAAAAAAAGAGATAAGGTCAGAAAGAGGTACTGCTCTCCAGCATTCAGACAGGATCTTGCAAGCTCCAAGCTTGCAAAGCCAAACCATTTACTCTGTTTGCTTAAATCTAACATGAAAGACCTACAGATTTCAACTCTGAAAGAAAGGTCTGTCCGTTCCTACCTGTACTTGCTTCTAGTTGCACGGGCTCACTGGCAATCCCCTTCTTCACATGACGAAGTGTGACATTGTATGTGGTGCTAGGATGGAGACCTGTAATCTCATAGCTGAGCTGCTCTTTGGGCACATGGACTTGTTTCTCCAGTATCTCATGCCCCACTGGGTAATAGCTGATGAGGTAATTATCCACATCAATCATTTGATCCCAGCTGACAGCCATGGAATCCTCTGTAGCATTCAGCAGCTGCAAGTTCTGAGGAGCAAGCACTAGAAGAAAAACAAACAGAAATACTGCAATGAGGATGATGGATTACAATCTGGTCCAGGACTCAGTGAAGTCACAAGGATTCTATTTCAGCAGGCTGCAGCAGAAGACAACTTGTTGCTCTGTGAATGGATGAAAAGGCTATCATACAGAAGTCCTTTGCATACGGACAGCTATAGTTCCACTAAGAAGTGCAAACTGAGACCACCAGGCTCTGCAGAGACACAAGCCCATTCAGAGTCCATCTGCAAAGCAAACATTCACCTCCTTGTCAATCTAAGTGAAAAAGTTGCTATTTTATTATTCCTTTTATGGAGTGAAAAGTAACTCCTGGAGAGTACCAAGTCCAGGAGATGGAAAGGGAAGCTCCTGGCCTGAAGCAAAAGGGTTCCCACAGACCCTACTAACGTGAATTAGGAGGACAGGTGGCTGTGGGCCATGCCACAAGTCCTTCTTGGGCTCTGCTCGTGCTCATCAATCCCTCTCCATCAGGTAGCTTCTCCTCCAGAAGCAGACTGAGGCCATAATGGAATACATGAACAGGTACTGAACAGCACATTCATAGATTCAGTGATGGCTCATGAGAAGCTCTCTTATTCTGCTGAGACTAGCCAGCTCTGCTTTGTTTTCTTTCCCGTTTTTCTGATTATAGCATCAAAACACAGAGTTCCTCATTAGATCCATGTAATGCTGAGATACCAAAAAAACACAAACTTCTAAGGATATTGTCATTTGAAATTCCTGTTTTATTCATCTACAAATATCCCACAACACTATCTTTGAGCAGCCAGTAAACTGAAACTCGAGAAAGAGCACAAGTCAGTATCTGCTATTCAGCATGCCCTTCTCATCAATTTTCCTTTGCAAGGAATTGCAAGCACTAATTATACTGTTGCGTGCTTGGGAATAAGTTCTAGATGATCAGACATGCCAGTTACCATGGCAACACACAACAAGATGCTTTTTCATTATCTGAGATACATTAAAAACAAACAAACAGAAAGAACAGTGCTCAATTTAAGTTCCCAGGTTACAAGAATCTAATCAAATGGAACAGAAAAGGAGAAAAGGCAATGGGGCAGCTATAGAAAGGGGACAACTTGGCTACAGGTGCTGACACAAGAAGCATTTGATTGTGGACTTAAAACACTTTTTAACTGGGAGTGAAAGCCTATTGTTAGGAACATCAGCAAAATGGATTGTGCAATATACACTAGCTCTGCAGTGCTTGCTCACTTGTATACTCAGAATAGAGGCCCCTTTCACAGCCTATAAAACAGCTGCAGGTGCTGCATAAGGAAGATGACCCAAGGATGAAGCCAGCCAGCCCCTTAGTGAGGCTGCACTGAGAAACAGTTCTCTTCTTGCTACTACCTCTGTAAAGGTGCTGGCCTGAGCTGCAAATCCCAGTCTGCTGAAAGGACAGGAGAGTGCTGCAGCCATAAAGAAAAATGAGTAGTGAGGAATGGATAGCAGGAGTGAAACTTCCATGTGCAGCTCTTGTTTCAGTGAAGAATTTGAGCTAGTAGGCTGTATAAACGGTGAGTCTCTAAGCAGACAGGTCGAGTCTGAGAGGTGAGGGATGACAGGGAGCATTAAAGACTTGCCAGTAAGGTCACTGCGAACCCCTACTGAGCACCAGCTGCTGCTCAGTGTGTGGTTGTTACTTACCTCTCCTTTCTGAGCAGCTGTGAAAGATTAGACTAAGCACAGAAAGCAAGGTGGCTTTCAGGGCACAAGGTTGAGGGTTAAGGCCTGGAGTATCAGCTTGTGGTTATAGGGAGATTATAGGTTTTTCAGAATACACACCAAGCCATCCAGCATTAAGCAGAGACTGTTGGATGCACACTTCAAGGTGAGCTCAGTCCACCTTCTCAGGCAAATCCTTCTGCCTCATAATAGAATATTGTAAGAGTTTCCTAAAGCCCTTGCTTTCAAAGGGTGGTTACTTAATGGCTTTACGCATCTTTCATCTAACAAGTTTTTATCAAATCAACTACTTCATCAGCAAGCAGCACACACTACAGCAGCCATAATTTCACCTTTTATTATCTCACTTATATGTCAAGAAACAGATTTAAAGTTCCATCTTTAATTACAGGATCTGTACTTTGTTAAGCTCTCTCCTTCAGCCACTATCCACATGCATGTGCTAGCTTTGCCTTAACCTGTGTTTTCCTGTTTTCTCGATCCAGAAACACTTTCCAGGCAATTCTTGAAGACATGGGACACTCACAGCCATCCCTGAGTACAATCCCAACAGGAACTCAGAAGGGACTTCGGTGATTCCAGGCCTGGTTTGCCCAGCACTTCCTCAAGAGACAAAAGGGAAATGCAGAATGAAAGTAAGAAGGGAGAAATAACTCACAAGCATATCTTACCCTGGGAGCAGTCAGGGCCAAAGAACCCCTCATGGCAGTAGCACTCTCCTGTGTCACAGAACCCATTGCCACTGCAGTCCCCGGGACATCGTTTCTCGCTGCAGTCCTCTCCGATGAACTCCTCATAGCACAGGCAGACCCCTTTAGCTGTGTCACAGATCCCATTGCCGCTGCAGTTCTCAGGACAGAGCTGCTGGCTGCAGTCCTCACTGAAATAAGGCTCATCACAGATACACCTCCCGCCATCACAGTGCCCGTGGCCACTGCAGAGGTTGGGGCAGGTGGGGCGGGAGCAGTCACTGCCCTCCCAGCCCTCTGCACACTTACAGCTGCAGGTCTCATAGAGGAACATCCCGTGACCGCTGCACTGTGTGACACCTGGCCACAGCAGCACCACAATGCACAACAGCAAGGGTGATGCACAGAGAGGAAAAAAAAAAAAGGAAACAAACTGAGGAACAGATCAATGAGAAGGTGAGTTCAAAGTCATTAAAGTATGACTATATATGGGCTGAAGAAGAGCTGAAGATCACACAACCACATGCCCCTGGTCCAAAGAGGGTCCTGCTCCCTCTTGTCTTTCCCAGTGCATTTGTCTGGAGTCAGCAGGAGTGCAAAAATCCACTAACACACCAATCAATTAGAAGGCTTTCCACAGCCTCTAAGCTGAGTTGTAATTTAAGCTCAGCACTAATCATCGCTGTTATTATGAAAATGGAAAGTTCATTATTCCCATGTGCCAAGCAGCTAAATTTGATAGAGAGCAAGTGACTGCCAAAAAAAACATCACCAGGAACTGCTCTTCTTTTAGACAGGTATTGAGGAAGAAACAAAACCAGCAGTTCTCAACAAATGCAAAATTCTGGAGACAGAAATGAGAAAGGAAAAGATGGCAACAAATTGCCCCCTTCATCTTCACCTCTCTCAGAGTTCCTCCATTTAATCCTCTCTCTCACCCATGTGAAACTCAGGAACTCTTTCCTTCCATTGCTAGGAGATGACTGGGGGAGATTTCCTCTGCACTGGTTCTAGAAGTGGTGCCTTCTACCACATTTTGGGACCTTCAGATTTCCCTTCCGATCACAAAACCACCATTCTGTCTGCACTTTGAGCTTTTCACTCTCATAACCCTTACAAAAGGATTCCAGTCCCCATCTCTCCGCAGAAAACAGGCTATATGTAGAAGACAAAAACAGATACTTCAATTGTTACATACCCTGGCTTCCCCCACAGCACTTCTGAGGGCTGCAGATTTCTCTCAGTTCTGCAACTTCTTTCTCTAGCTTCTCCATCCTCTCAAGAAGATCTTTAACATGGGCCAGAGTTTCACAGCTCGCTTTGGGTGCATGCACATGGATGTTGTGCCTAAAGATGATATCCTGCTCTTCATTTTCCTCAGCCTCACCAGGATCTAGCTGCACCCCACTGCTGCCTTCGTGCTGCAATGGATCCGCCTCTACCTTGATCTGGGAGGATGTGGGCAGGTCAATCTTGTAGGAATGGCTGAAGGATAATCTTTGACCATTGCTGGTGCAGTTTTCAGATGCAGGAAGTTGAATGGCAGATGCCTGAAGAGTACAGCATAGCAGTATCCCAAGAGGGAAGGCAAACCAGCTCTGGAAATCCATCCAGTAGGTTTTCAGAGGAAGCACTGACCCCTGAACTGCAAAGCTGCTTTCAAGAAGAAGGAAAGAAGATGTAAGAAATGTGATCATAAAGCTGGCATTCATAGTTTTCCACAAGTACTCTGCTTTGATTCAGCATAAGGTTGGTAAGTACCTGCAAAAGAGTCACACTGTATGAATTAGATCAAGAGTGCTTCCAGACCCTCCTGACTAGGAGCTTTAAACTTGTATTTCTTAAACGAGACTCAGTATTGCAGTCCAACACAACTATTAACTATGCCATAACCCTTTTCAGCCCTACACAGCTAAAACAGTCAGTCTTCTAGTCAGTGCTCTACATTACAATTACCAGTGTCTTCTGGTCAGAGTAAGAGATCTCCAGCAGCACCTCAGCTAGCATGATTTTCAACTAGAAGCTTGATGGCCTGTCCACAAGAAGATCTTCACTGAGATCAAGCAAAGGGTATTGATTTCATTTTATTTTTATATTAATTAAATAAGACAATCATCTCTGCTTCTCATTCACAAGCAGCACTCTGCTAGTCTTCTTCCTCCTTCATTCAGCACTTACCTAGAAGATTTAATTTCCTGCAAGAGGAATGGGGAGAAAGGGTACGTTGTGCTGCTGAGGTAGGGCTTCTTCCTTGCCTCCTTTATTTCCAAATCTGGAAATGAGGAGCCAGAATCCAATCCTTGCCCCTACAAAGCACAGACAAAATCCCTTCTCTCAGCACTAAGTGCTAAACAGCATTCTGGGTTACAACATGATGTCATTACTAAGTAGGGCTTCCTGAGAACCACAAATTGATCTCAGACTTTCCTCGGCATGGAGATCATTTATGAGGAAAAACCCTCAGACATATGGATTTCTGTCAAGCATAATGAAAGAGGAGGACAGCTATTTTGGCTTCTTCATCATGTAATAAAGAGATTTTCCCCTGCTGTTAAAACGAGCGGGTTTAACTGACTCATTGTGGAGAATATCATGTCATACACATAATGAGCAATAACAGGAGACCAAGGAAAGGAAGAATTTAGGAAAGAATGCCTAGAAGTCAGGTCTGTGAAGCTAGAAAATATTCTCCTGAGGAAAGGGATGGAAGAATCCCTGCTCACATCTTTCACTGTGCAAAGCACAGGATAACCAAAGCTGGAGAGAACCTACAGTGGAAGATTTCATCAGCCTAGCTCTGTAAGCTTTTCTCCGTCCCACAGATCAGCACTTGAGGATACAGTGTGCAGACCGTTGCACTATGATGTTCTGGGGAAGATGCACGACTGGAAGCTGCTACAATCAAAGCAAGAGCTGATGAAGACCTGGCTGTGGGTACCAGCAGAGTGTCTCCTAATGATGCAGATGGAGATGGGACTGAGGAGAGAAAAGGGGCTTGCAATCAGAAGAGAAAGGAAGTGCAGGTCCAGCACAGATCTAGGTTGCAGAAGGAAGAGAGAGACAGAAATAACTGAAAGATCAAATTGTGAGCGCTGGGGAACTAATCATGGCAGATGATTGATGAAAAACTGTCTCAACAGAACGAGTTCATAGAGGAAGGAAATAATTTCCAGAGATCAGGAAGCCTTTCCAAACAGCAGAGTAGAACACGTATGTATGGGCACAGCAAGAGTATACAAGGCAACACCAGAAGCAACACAAATTAAAGCTGAAGGAAAGCAGCCAGAGAAAAAGGGGATACATTGCAAGAAGCCATGGACTGAGACCTGAGCTTGGTAAGTGCCAGGGGCTGGTACATCGTGCTATTTTTGCAATCCTGAGCTAGAACAAACGCTGCCAAGTTGTACTGCAGCACCGGACACAGAGGAGTTGGCAGTTTCCTAACTGCTGAGTTAGAAAAGTGGGCATATCTAACCATCCTAAAGCCACGGGAGGGTCCTCAAGGAACACAGGAGGAATAATAGATATTCTGCTACACTAATTCTTTTGCAGTGTCTGATAAGCAAGATGTATTAACCCTTCCCACAAAAAGGACAGACTGCTTCTGACATGATATATACTCATTAGAAAACGTAGAGAGGCTTAACAGTAATTTCACTTTTGTTAGTTAGGATCAGCATGTGTTTTATAATGATTTGCCTACCTCCCTTTTCTTAAATCGTTAGTTTCCAGCATAAGTCAAGTGGTCTCTCCTGAAGCAAATCTTTGTTTTGCTGCATGTATAGTTCAAAAACATTCAGACATCTGTATTTGCTCAATTTTACTCACCCACAGAATTTCACATTTTATAACTGGCATGAATAATAAAGTAGCATTATTATGGAAATAGTGCTGTATTGGCTTCCACCAGTGAGTCTGTGAAAAGGTACGCCAGAAAGCATAGAAAGAGCTTTTCTGTGAGAAAATAACAAAAAAGTACTAATAATGTTTGTTGTAATTATATGCAATCACTATCACACAGAAACAAGAGCCTAAATTGGAAATTGCCAGGAACAAGCACTCTAAAATAATTAACTTGCAGGTGAAATCTTTGCCCTGTTAAAGTCAATGGCAAAACTCACATTCATTTCAGTAGCTGTGGTTCCACTGTGGAGGAAACAACCTTTGAAACCTTAATCCCTTTGTCTGGGAGCAATATTAACTACTACTCCATACACTATACATTTTGCAGCAGTAACACATCTGCCTAACACAGGATTGCTGATGTTTGTGCAAAGGCTTTCAGAACTTTAAATGGCAGGCATATACTACAGGATGTCAAAGAAGGAATGGATGGGTTTTTCCATTCAGAAACAAGAATCTCAGGCAAAAATTTAAAAAAAAAACCAAACAACCAAAAACACAACAACAAAAAACTAAAAGATTCCTCTTACCCTTCAAGTACTTTCAGATGCCCTTCTGATATATCTGCCACTTGCAGAGCCTATCTGAGCAAGCTCAAAGCTCTCTTCTCTTCCCAGACCACTCTACCAGTCCCCGTAGTGAATTTAAGTCCCCACGCATCAAATGGAAGGAACCAATAAGGTCTCTGAGCGTTTGCCCAGAGTGTTTCCCCCACTCAGTCTATCCTACCAGCAGAAAAAAGAGCCTGTCCTGTTCATTTTATGCTCCACCCCAAATGCAAAGCCAAAAAGCCTTTCCAGACCTGTACATGTGGCAGAAAACATCTTGGCGTGGCTGTAGGGACCCAATATTCAGAAGCACTTCTAAAAAACTAAAAGATGTGAGATTTTTGCATAATCAGCACCAAATGCAAAAACAATATACTTTAAAAGAGAGCAATACATAAAAACTACAATTATCTGGGAAATTAAAAAAAAACAACAAAAACAAAACAAACACAGAAGGACTTACAAATAAGCAAAAGAAATGCCAACACCATTACTTGAGTACCCAGAAGATGATCTCAGGCACACATGTTATACATACCAGTTTTTAGATAAAACATATGCTAAGATTCTAATAAGTTGCTTTACTTCCCTGTAAGAGAAACTGTCTGCAAAAACCTCAGGATGGCAAAGGCTATCTATGCACATGAAGACTTTACCATTGCTAGTTGGGGATGTGAACTATAACTCTATTTCTCACATCAAAACAAAACAAAACACTATAAACTCTGAAGGTAGCTTTGCACCACCCCTCCCTCTCAAAACCCTAACTCACACCCTGGACAGTAACCAGCTCTGATACACAACCTAACTAGGAATCCCACCGAAAATAGACCACAATTCATTTTCCTTAACAGGCTCTTCCCAATCCCACTCACACAAGGGCTCTGTTCTGTTCCTCTCCCCGAACCCAAAAACTAGTTGACTAGCTCCAACATCCACCCAAAGTAGGGATCCCACCAAAAAAGGCCCGCATATCTGAGCTGCTGGCACAGCTCAACCTTCTTTGACAGCCCCACTCACACAACAGATGTGCACTTTCTCTTTAGAAACCCTAACCCTGAACCCAGACAGTGACCAGATCCAACGTATGGGAGAAATGCACTTGGTTTTCAAACTCTAGCCAGAACCCAAACATTAAAACTTATCCAAACAGTAAACCTGGATAGAGACCAACTCAAACAACCACCCACTCAAAGCTCCAACATCTACTCTAGCTGGGGATCCTACAGAGGGAACCTCAAGTCAAAGCTTCTGGTACACATCAAATGTCTTTGGCAGACCCTTCCCAGCACCACTCACATGGGGATGTGTGGTTTCTCTCTCTCTCCAAATCCCAACCCTAAGTTGAACCTTAACTCAGACCCTAACCCTAGACAGCGACCAACACCCACTTCAACAAGGGATCCCACCAAAAACAGCCCACGTCTCAAAGCTTCACGCACACCTCATCCATCTGGACCACCTAAGAAGCACACAGACACCAAAGGGAAACATAAAAACATACTGAACAACTGACAGTGTGTTCTAACATACAAATGCCCTTTGGTTACATCAAATGCCTTTTGATTAAGTGCATCCGATTCCTTGCTTAATTTTCTAAGCCTGTTTTCCACTGACTAATTTTATCAGCTAGAAAGATGCAGAAATAAGAAATTATGAACAATATCATCTGGGAATTAATCTTGATTTTTTTTCTCCCTGAAACAACAGTAATCTTCCATGGCAGTCAGGCATCCACAGAGCACTTCACTGAGCAGCAGTCACCAACACCTTGAGCTTTGAAGATGCTCACAGAAGCTTTGCAGCCCATAGGCTTTGTAACAGCGGGATAAGGGGAAATGGTTTGAAGTTGAGGGAGGGAGGATTTAGGTTGGATGTCAGGGGGAAGTTCTTTGCTATGAGCGGTGAGGTGCTGGAACAGCTGCCCAGAGAGGCTGTGGATGCCTCGTCCATCCCTGGAGGTGTTCAAGGACAGGTTGGATGGTGCCCTGCGCAGCCTAGGCTGGTATGAAATGTAGAGGTTGGTGGCTCTGCATGTGGAGGGGAGTTGGAGATTCGTGATCCTCGAGGTCCCTTCCAACCCTGGCCACTCTGTGATTCTGTAACGCCTGGGCTGCTATGAAGGACTCCAGACCCTCACACGACTTTTTGATGAATCTAGCGAGCTCGCATGAACCGAAAACATACTCAAAATAATGAATGCAACGTTTCAAACGTAACACGCTCCGCCTGAAAGCAGCACGCAGAAAACAGCTCTGACAGCCCAGGTGAAGGCGGACTCTCAGGCAGGGCGAGGCGCAGCACCGAGCCCCGCCCCGCAGGCAGCTGCTGCGCAGGCGCGGTTCGGCCCCGCGCCCCGACAAGATGGCGGCGTCCGCGCTGTGCTGGGCGCTGAGGGCCGCTCGGCAGGTCAGCCTCTCTCCTGCCCTTCTCTTTCCCTGCAGAGAGACGGCCCGGAGCTGCAGCAGCCTATTTTCTGTTGCTGTTTTAAACTAGGTTCTCCCAAGCCAAACGCGGGGCTACTACGTGGACTGGAGGATGCTGCGCGATGTCAAGAGGAGGAAGCTGGCCTACGAGTACGCGGACGAGCGGCTGCGGATCAACGCCATCCGGAAGAACACCATCCTGCCCAAGGAGCTGCAGGTACAGGCAGGGCACGCAGCGCAGCCTGACTGGCTTAAGTCTTCTTTCTCCTCTGAATTGTCAGTTGCATAGCTTGGGAAAGCTGTTTTCCTTTATTGCGTGCTGTCTGGTTACTTGTATAGCTGCCTGAATAAAGATTTTTACAGTTTTGTTTAAGAGCTTGGAAGCCCAATCCTGCCAAAGCCACTAGTTTAATTAGAAATTGTTAATTTTAACATGGAAACCTAGAACAGCTTATGTCTAACCTTATTTTCTCCTCTCTTACACTAACGCCGTATTATCCTGTCACAATCAGGCTGTGTACAAATTCGGTCCTCCTCCTGCTTATACCACCCAAATACTGGAAGGCCACATTGAGGTCTCCCCTGGACCTTCTCCAAGCTAGACAAGTCCAACTTCCTCAACATTTCTCCATAGGAGAGGTGCTCCAGCCCTCTAATGATCTTTGTAGCCTTCGTCAGGACCCACTCCAACTGCTCCACGTCCCTCCTGTGCTAGGGACAGACTGGGATGGAGTACTGCAGGTGGGGGCCATTGCAAGGGCAGAGCAGAAGGGGACAGTCCCTTCCCTGCCCACTGCCACCCCTCTGTTGATGCTGCCCAGGACTGGCCATCTGGGCTGCAAGAGCACACAACTGTTTCACATCCACCTTTTTGTCCACCAGGAGCCTTCGGCCCTTCTGTGCAGGGCTTCTTTTAAGGATTTTCACACAGAGGGTGATGAGGCACCGGAACAGGTTGCCCAAGGAGGCTGTGCATGCCCCATCCCTGAAGGCATTCAGGGCCAGGCTGGATGTGGCTCTGGGCAGCCTGGTCTGCTGGTTGGTGACCCTGCACATAGCAGGGGCTTGGAACCAGATGATCATTGTGGTCCTTTTCAACTCAAGTCATCCTATGATTTTATGATTTCTTCTCCCAGTCTGTACACGTATCTGGTATTGCCCCAGCACCAGTATAGCACCTTGCACATGGCCATGTTGATCCTCATTAGGTTCGCATGGGCCTACTTCTTAAGCCTGTCCCAAACTTTGGTTGACATCCCTCCGTACTGTTGCATCAACTGCACAACTCATCTTGGTGTCATCCTTAATCCTGACTTCTTTTGAAGATATGGATCCCCTTAGAAAGTAGCCTGACACTAATGCTTTTCAACGCTTGCAATATAATGGGAACTTTCGTAGTCCAGCATCACCTTCCTTTTACGTCCAACCATGTCTTCCTATCACAGGATCCTTTAAGCCTTGCTTTTTTGTTGTTTTTATTATTATTTACCAACTGCTGCTACCTGATGCTTTCTGCTGACTTTTTCTCTCTTGTACACAGACAGAACTTGAAGCTTCTCGCTAGAGCAGAGACATTTTCACTCATTCTCTTCTGCCTGTAGCTCCTTATGAAGTACGAGCTGTAATATCCATTTTTATCGGCAACCTGTGAAGGCAGATAAGAAACAGCTTATCTTGAAGGACTAACCCACTCCATATTTACTGGCTTGAGGTTGTATGGTGCATCAGAAGGTTAAATTGTAAGCTTTGATGTAGATCACTTTACATTCACTGTTAGGGTGTCTAAAAAGAAAGGCAGGAGGAAGTTTACCATTAAATATTCAAGCATACTCATGATGTAATAGTAGCTTGTAGTGATAGCTGTTCTACAACGGGATTCGGAGGTCTGGAAATAAGACCCCTCAAAATCCTAGGGGACATGGTTAAACTCTAAGCTGTGGTCTTCTGTTTTAGGAAGTGGCTGATAAAGAGATTGCTGCCTTGCCCCGGGACAGCTGCCCTGTGAGGATCCGAAATAGGTGCGTCCTGACGTCCCGCCCTCGGGGGGTGAAGCGGCGTTGGAGGCTTAGCAGGATTGTTTTCCGCCATTTTGCTGACCATGCTCAGATGTCTGGGATACAGAGGGCCATGTGGTAGTTCACTGCATGGATATGTGTTCAGACAGAAAACACAAGACAGGCTCAGTTTGCAAGTTCAGTTAAAACAGACTCCTATGTGTAAGTCCAGCATCAAACTGATGCAGGATGGAAGAAGAGCCACACTGACTCATTCACTGGATTGTGCTTGGGATCAGCTCACTGCCAAGCAGCAGCATAACTACACTAAGCCAGTCTGTGTAAGATGCAGTTTTATTTTGGGGGGGGGGGCGAAATAAAATCAATCGCATTGTTGCAGAACTGAGCTGAGGTCTGTGATGGGTAACATTTAAAATAAAGACATATAGCAAAGGCTCATTTAAGCATTTTTTTTTTTTTTTTTTTGCCACTATATAGTTAAATTCACCATGGTAATTTAGGTAAAAGCATAAATGAAACTTCACAACAGGGCAAAGTAGTATTCTGCCATGAACAGGAATGAGCATGAACTTAAAAACATAGTCTCAAGTTCAGATAATCTTGCTATGCAGACTTAATACAAACATATTAACAAGCGACGAAGAACAGGTAGAGAACCTACTGGAAACAACAACATGTTAATATTCTTCTCCTACCTATAGTGCAGAACTTGTTCCAGTGCTTTAAAAATAAAGTAGCAATTAAGTCCTAGTCCAGACCATAACAGGGCAGTAATGGCTTGCTTAATTTGGCAGGTAACATTAAGTAAACCTGTCCCTGGGAGAAACACAAGGAGGAAGCATGAAAGAAACAACAGCAGCCCCAGCAAGCCTGCTGCTAAGTTCATGTTTGCCATGTACTCTTCTTCAAGCAGGGCAATAAAGGGGAAATGGCCACTCTGCCCTCCCTAGCTGTATGTGGCAGGGGCTGCAATAAATAGGCCAAGTTGTACTATCCTCAGGTGGAAGACACACAGGCAGCAAGTTAACAGCAATCCATCACCCCCAATTTTGTGAAACTTTGGTGTATAACTTAACACACTACTTACTCTGTTACATTAAAACCTTTCAAAGTTGATAGGAGGTTATGGAGCTTCTCTCTTTTCGTCATACACTGCTAGAGCCAGGGTCAACTTGCTAGCATCAGCAGCTCACTACTCTTCTGTGACTGGTGCCACCTAGAGACACCCCAAGGAGGTCACACTTAGCATAGAAGCTAAAGGGCAGTTTTCAAAAGCTGTGAGCAGTTGAACAGGTAGTACTTACATTTTTTAATACCACAGTATAAACACCATACCACTTCTGTTCAGCTAGCAAGTGCACTGTCTTGAGATAGTGGTTCTGCTTGCCTCAGCATTTTTCCTTTTGTCACAACATACTATCCCACATGTCAAAAAAGCGTCCCCACGGTGACATTAGTCCCAGTAACCAGATGGGACAGAGAGACCTTGACCCACCCCGATTTAGGATTCCTTTTTTCTTCTACATTCCCTTCTCAGTTTCACAAAAGCCTCCACTTATCTGAGGTGCTTTTTTAGGGAGGGTAAGGATTTACCTACGCTCCACTCCTCAGGAATTGGTGAATCACTTGACTGAAGGAAATGCTTTATAAGCTATTTTATTTAAATATTTTCTCCAACCTGAAATGGAAAATGAGTGTCTTTGCTTGGAAGAAGATTGTGTAAACAATGATCTTTGCAGCACAGCGAGTTCTCACATGGAAGATCTGTATTAAGGCAGCCCTTAGAGTACTTTCAAATATCCATTGGTATGTCCCCTTTGGATTGCTTTTCTCTGCTTTCAACCCAGGCCTTGTTGATGGTGCGCTTCATTTCATCATCTCCTTCTGCATACATCTTTTTTAAAAGGTTCATAAGCCCTTCACTAGGATCTGAGGTGTCATAGGCAGCCTTCCTGCAAGACAGACATATATGAGAAGATCAGCCCTAGCTAACAATTCTCTGCAAAAATCTGAACACCAGAATTTGTTAGAAACATCATCAGTGAGCATTTTGTTTTGGCCAAGTCTTTACATCATGGAAACCATTAATCACATTTTTGTCACCGTGTCTTCAGGTGCATTTAGACTAAATGCAATTCCACTTAAAAGCTGTCCAGTTAAGGATAACAGGAAGCAATTTGCAGTAAACGTGACCCACCACCAAAATTAATTTTGAAAAGCAGGACTTGAATGTAACAGATCCAGAAAGTGCCAACATCTGTCTGCAAATTAAAAGAAAAAAAACAAAAACCAACAGAAGAACGACAACACTGAGCTTTTCAAGTGGCCATATCCGTGACCCAAAAGGCATTTTCTGCTTCCAGCTGTTATGGTGTTCAGAGGTTAACTACCTCATCGTAGCACCTTGCATTTCTAAGCAATTTTCTCACCCTACAAAGCCAGCAACAGTGAAGAAGAATAATACTCCATGTGGGAAGCATCTTGCTATGACAGGACCCACATTACCAGACTTCATATTATGCCACCTCTGGCTAAACTGCCTCTATATCCCATTTTTCTAAAATCCCACAGGTATTCTTCAGGTAGCTGCAGGCTACTTGCAAAACACACAGATCAAAATAAATCAGCAGAGGGAGCGAGTTCCCCAAGTATGGGGCTAGGCACCAGCCTCCAAGACCTGAACACTGGTAAACTGGGAGGAATATTTCTGGAGTGACTCATATGTCTTAGTGTAAATCCTCAAGCCTTTGAACAAGGCAGCAATGCTAGCCCTGTCAGGCTGGGCAGCAGATGGTATTTCTCTGCACAAGAAACAGATTTAATGAAATGACTACGTTCCTCCAGCTACTGATCAGTAGTCAAGTCACCTTCTCCTAGTCTTTAATGCTGTTGTTTGAGGAGGGGAAGGCAGTTTTTGCTCTGTTAGCCAGGACTGATCAAGCTAGTCATTTTACAGAGGTTAAAAAAAAAAAAAAAAAAAAAAAAAACACAAAGCAAAATGAATAGTTGTTGTTGTCAGGCCATAAGTGTCTCAAAAGTGAATGCTTCCACACTTCAAAGTGGGCCTGCAAATTCTCTTCTGGATGAGAATGTGTATATTTTAAAACAGCATGAAAGTATTATACTAATTTATACTAGCTATATATTACTACTACACACACAGAAATGCATTTTGTCCCCAGGTGTTTCTGGCTGTAGCTTATCACTTTTCCACATCCAGTGCCCAAGCTGCCTGTAGTACTGGTCCCAAGAATTTGAAGCAAACTGATTTAAAGTTGTCTGAAAATTTTGTACAATGACCAGGTAAGCAAACAAAAAAAAGAAAAAAAAAAGCCTTTGCCAAAAGGATGCTGGGTGTTTTGTGTGGGCATTTCAAATGCATGTAAAAAAAATATTATTTTTTCTGTATATCTACAGAATGTAGCCTAAAAACAAAGTCAACCTCACCAGAGCAGTTCTTGCTAGAAACGCAGCCATCAAGATAAAACTGACTCATTAATTGGTTAATTATCTCTAGCACTCTCACTGAAGGTCTCATCTGTCTTATTTCCAATGACGTGACATTCATAATAAGCAATAAACCAACAGAAGAGTGGCAATCAGCTCTCAAAGAGCATCTCCTCCGCTGTCAGTCTTACTGGTACCACAAAAATCCCAGCCTAATGGTTCACAAATACCTTGGGGGCTTGTGCCCCAGAACAGCAGTTCTCTTAATCTGACTGTCAGTGCATTACAGCTCTTCTCTTGCCTGTCCTAAAGCAGTTTCAGAAAGAAGATAAGATGGAGGGGCAAGGAGACACTTACTCTTTCTCTTTGCTTTCTTTTTCCACTTGAGTGAGACACTCCCATTTTTCCTCCCGCTTCTTCTTACACATCACAAGGACTGTGTCTGTCTTTATCTGGATGGAGAACAGCAAGATAAGAATTTAGAATACTAATGAAGGATGCTAGACACAACCACAATGAACTTTCACCTCTTTCTATATCCACCAATTCCCAAAACATTTATTTGCTGTTGATTTTTAGGTAATATACAGAAATTCTAGCACGTATTCAGCTTCACAGCACCAAGTGTTGACCTCACTGTAGTGGATTAAATGGCATGACTGATAGAGTACTAGTACAGTACTACAGTACTAACTACTCTATGGTACAGCAGAACATACAGTGCTGTAGAAGCACCAGTCAGTCATTTTAGGATACTAAAAGCACGCAGGACTGCCTGGTAAGTGGTGATACCAAGTTTTGGAACAAGCTCTCCCAACTCATTTCTCCTAGGACAAGAAACTGGTTTAAGGGCACTGCTTCATTTCACAGTATGTTTGCAAGTTATAAGCAAAGCCTGTTTAATTGCTACCCTGACCTCAATTCCTCAAAACTGCTGTGTGCCATGGCACACAGAATTCTCCCTGAGCATTAGCTTAGCTCAGTGGCACGACCACTGTTCTTTTTCACACTGTATTAAAAAGAAAAAAATAAAACAAAATAAAATCACTGGAGCACCATTATTTTTTCTTTTTTCTTTTGGTACACTATTCTAGTTTTAGGACAGTTTCAAACTGAACCATCATTTGGTTCAATGGTGTTACAAGCAGCAAAGTAGGAAGAGTATTTCAGTTGCAGTCATCAGCAGTGAGAAGTTGCTCCTGTTTAATCTATCCCTACCAAAGCCAGAGCAAGTTTTCACATTGTTTTGGGCATTATGCCTAATTAAGCTACTCAAGGCTTCAGTCTGCTGACAAGTCTCCAGTCCTTAAAACTGCAAAGGCTCTCAGAAGTGTTTCAGAGCAGAAGAATGCAAACTAATGCTTAGTGGAATTTTCTGCTTAATTATTGCTGAAATCCCAATTGGAGGGCTGTTTAGAAAAAGCATATGATACCTAGCTATGATCTTTTCAAAAAAAGCCTATGGGCTCTAGAGAATGATTCCACAATTACAACAACTAGAGATTCTTAAGAATGGCATTCAGGCAACGACCATGGTATTACCTGTAATACACAGGGTTTGCACTGACCTTTCTGGAGCTGCCTTCCACAGCGATGGGCTTCAAGAGGTTGTTGAACGTCATGGTGTAGTTCTTTCCATTCAGATTCTTCACTAGCAGATCAAATGACCTGAAGCCAGAAGTTGGGGAGAAGGCAAACATAAATACATACTCCAGTCTGTACAAGACTGTTCCACACTGCCACTGCAAACTGTCCTAGATCCCTTTAGCAGGTGCATTACTTGGGAGAGCATGTCAACTGGCCCAACTTTCCTCCTACCCTTTCAGTTGGATTTAATACTGCCACATAAATATATATATATATATATAGATTACACATCAAATCAAGATCTTTACAGGGTTCTTTCTCACTGACGTCCTGCAACTAAGGCAATTTTATTTAATCAACATTTCAGTTACATCACCATTAAAAACAGGGCTGGTGCCACATACCCTGTCAAGCGATATGAGGTGTAACAAGCATTTGTAAAATTTTCTTTAAATGCCCTCTGAAGAGGGCTATGCTTAAGGGTATGTACTAAATAAATTGAAGCAGGGGGGCAGGAAAAGGCCTAAGTGACCTAGAACAGCACTCAACACTACACAGCCCTGCTTTTCAAATAATATTTCAACAGTTCCTCACCCATGCTTCTCCCTCATGGAATAGTGCAACAAGATGAACTCACCTCTCTGTGAAATTCACCTGCACGTTCTCAGCTGGAAGCTTCTGGACTCCATTTAAAGAGACATAAATCTTAATAAACTTGTCTGACTGATCCCAACCTGCAAGAGAATAAGAAATTAAGATCTAGCTTTCCTCCATACACTTAATGCATTCTGTTCTATGATTGCATGATTCCAATATTCTCATGAAGTCCATGGTAATGGTCACAACCTGTGCCTTACTGAAACAACCTTCAGAGGGATAAGGGAAATCTGAGAGTAAAAGGTCCTCACACATTCCTGAACTCCTCTAAATTTGGAGAAAAGCCATGCATCAGCTCAGTTAAAATGACAGAACTCTGTCTGTGCAGGAATTGGAGATGTCTGTTTTTGCTGCAGTTTCCTTGGCCCACTTTCTCCCAACACGCCAGACAAGCATCTTGAGCAACTCCTTCTCCTTTTACCTACGTGACAAGCAGAGAAGCCAAAGCTCACTCTTTCAGTCTTGCTGAGTGTTACACAATGGAAAAAACACTCGCTGGTACAGCAGGGACTGTTAATATTTTCTACCGGTATAGGACAGCACTCACACCAACAGAACTAACATACTGTGCTCAGGGCCACACAGTAAGCACACAGAACCTTTAAGTGGGGTCTCCAGTACAAAACAAACATTCAAGACGGCTTCTTACAGCACTATGTGAAAACTGTAAGTCACTGACACCACTCAGGCTTCTCTTCAGGCAGAAGCCTGAGTTGTAAGGGCTTTTTGAGAAGCAGACCTACCGTAATTGTTGATTTTCACTGTGTACCCTCCCAGTGATGACTTTTCTTCCTCTATCACATCTTTTGGCTTTGGCAGCGGCTGACTCTTGATTTCTAGCTCTAGCTTGTGCTTTTCCATCATCAGGACATCACGCAGCCGCTTCCTCGTGGCCTTCGCAAGCAGCTCTTTAACCTCCTCCAAATCCTTCTGCAGCTGTTTAACAACAAAAGATCGCACACTCCGATCAGACGAACCTGCTCAAGGTTCACTACCGAGCTCTCCCCTGCTCACCAGATACCTCAGATTCACGCAATCAACGTCACTCGGCATGCTGCTAAGCACGAGGCTACGAACACCTTCCCTCCCCTACCACACGTACATCAACGCTTAAGCTCCCATCAACCGGGACACAGCGGAAAGCCGTAAATGCTTTACAACCGAAACAGCTTCTCCGCGTTCAGAGGCCAACAGACCCCCTGCGTGAGCAGCGTCCTTCCCGCCAGTTCCCAGTCAAGAGCAGGGGGAAGGAAGGGAAGCCTCTCACCTCCTCGCGCGCAGCAGCCATGTCGTGTGTGGCACAACGCCGAGCCGCACCTCCACAGCAAAGCCGCCAACTCCACGGCCCCTCTGGAACCTTCCGACCTCCCGCCCCGCCCCCGCGCAGCGGAAGTGACGTACGTCTCCTCCTCCCCGGGGCGCACGCTGTCCCCTTCCCCACTTCCGCTCTCTCAGCGGAAGGGGAGGGCCAAACCGCGGCGTTGCCATGACGACGAGCAGCTTGATTGACAGCGCCCTAGAACCCGAGGAAGCGGGGCTGTTACCTCAGTGGGTTCGGCCCGCCTCGCGCGCTGCGCGTAGCTTCAGTGTCCTATCTTCACTTCAGTCTGTGGTATTTGTAACGACCGAGCTCAGCGCGCACATTGTTCCACGTGGGGGCTTGGTTTCATTCCGTTCTTCTTCAGCTTTGCAGTTGAAATATGCAACAAATTGCCCAACTTGAAAAATATAAAACTATGAACAGTTGAAACAAGTAATATTTAGAAGGATTGCTCTTGAAGATTGGCAAGTGAAGTGCTCTATTCTGTTGCAACTTGTTTTTCTTTTGAAGTGAGGGTTAGAATACCTTCCTAGCAGGTGGTTTGCCCTCCCAAGGGGGGTTTGGACAGTGTTATGGCAGAGCCGTGCTGCTGCAGTATCTTGTCTCCTTTGTTAGCAATAGCTTGACAACCTGTTACTGGTTCTCTTTGGAAGTAGATCCTCCAGTAATGCTTGGTTTCAGTGGTTGGACTGGATAATCTTAGAGGTCCTTTCCAACCTTAATGATTCTTCTGAAGCGTCTATCTGCTCCTCGTCCTGCAGCTTCTCAGCCGCAGATTTCATCTGACAGGATACATTGTGGTCAGCTGGAAAGAACTTCTGTGGCAGGGTTATTTAATGGGCTAAGCCCAGTTTCTTCTTCTGAAGTTGTTTCCTTGTGATCGTTCTGCTGAGCGGCCGCTGAGAGGAGAAGAAATCAGTGCAATTTCCATGACTACTGATTAGAGTCTCCTCTGTCTGTGGTGGGATTTCATTAGGAAGTGTTCACAGCTTTAGAATTTAAATTGGTATTGCGTTGCAATTTGATTTCTGGATACAGGGGAAAACACTTCAATACATAAGTGCTCCTGTAATTTGCTTGTTTTCTAGCAATTTTTAACTCTTCTACTATGAAAACAAGTTCTGCATGGCTCTTCTGGGGTAAAGCTGCAGTGCCACCTGAATGCTGTGTCCTACCTTGGCTATAAACAGGAGAGAATGACAAAAGTTTTCTTCTGTGCATCCTCATGAGGAGCCAAGTGGCTTCTCCCAGGGGACAAGAATGGGAGCTGTTTGTGCAGCAGGAGGGGAAGAAGGAGCTTGGTTAGGACTGGTAGGAGTGCTGAAACTCAGCTGTAGGATCCTCATCTGGTCTTTGTGGTGAACACAGGGCTGTGCAGTGTGTTCCTAGCAGCACAAAGGATGGGGTAAAGTCATTTGAGAGGATCTGACCTCTCTGTGGAGCACGAGGTAGCCATTCCCTCCTTCCATAGACACTGATACAAACTGATGACAAGCAACTTTTGGGTAGTGATATGGAGGTGAATCAGTACAAAATGTTACCTCTGGTAAATTAACCAGAGACAAGTTTTTAATATTCAGCTTTTCTATCTCTGTTCCTTTATAACTCCCCATGGAGCTTATCTAGTTATGCGGGGAGCTGTGGCTGTTCATCTCAGTTAATAAAAAATACATATATATCCTGTAACAACTACAGGAAAAACTGGTTTCATGAAGTATTTGAATACTTCTGGTTGCTATCTGCCACAACTGTTCTGCCCTGATCTTGCTCAGCCATGCTTCTCTGTTGCTGTTTCTTGCTGGCTCCTCTTGGTCCCGCTTTTCTTCCTTAGGGCTGCTGCCTGTTTCTCTTGCATACTTCAGGGAAGCATGAAGTCCCAGCCACATTGCTTTCCTACTGTTGTATATGAACAACCTTTAGGATAAATATATTTACCAGTCTGTTTTCTATGCTAGAAATCTCAGAGCAGCACCTGGAGTGTCCAGCACAGTGCTTGTCAGTCAGATCCCTGCGGTACAGGTTACCCTTGTGAGCAGGTACATAATACCACCAGTTTGGAATGAGCTGTGCAACGTGCACATTTTGGACAGCTGTCTGCTCAGCGTCAGTGTCCTGGTACAACAGTGTGCTTCAAAATGACCAACTGGAGTGAACTGTATCAGAAAACCCAACGTGGCCGTTTATTCCTGCAAACTGTTTCTTAAGTGGCTTCTCAAAATAAGCATCTTATTCTCATTTTGTTTGCATTTCCATTTATTTTACAAGGCATCATTCACACAATGATAACAAGGTACTGATCCAAACAATTCTGTAACAATTAGAAAAGTAAACATTTGTTGTGACCATGTACATTAAATTGCACTTTGAATAACAAGCGTTACACTTATATTTCTGTATCATACTTTATATAATACATGGATTTGTTACACAAGAACGGCAGTATGGAACTGTTCTCAAAAGTCTCACAGCGCTGTGATGCTCTGTCTTCCTAGTAACTCTTTCTAGTGACTATATTTTATGAACAAGGGATGCACTCAGATATCAAATGCAGCTAAAAACTTGGAAAATCTCATCGGTAATCAGCACTTTGAGGGTGCTCTCTACGTTCAATGCGCTGATGTGATTGCAGACACAGAGTGCTCTGGATCAGAATTATGCTTGATTCGATCCTTTTCTGCATTGCTAACCTTTTCCCTGTGTGAACATACCAGAGAATCCTCTTACACAGAAAAGCATCAGCTCCCAAAGCTCAGGAGAGCTCATGGTACAGCTTTAGAAGGTGGTATTGGTACCAGCGTGTCCCCGGGAATTACTGGAAGGAGGGACTTGGGACCTGGAGAGAAAGCTGAGAACATATGCTTTTGTTTGCATTGACAGTAGCATCCATGTATTATATAAAATACAAAAATAAGAGAAACTGGAAGGAAATCAGTACAGCCCAGGATTCTGGTGGTATCAAATCACAAATGAAATCTATGATACTCGATCCTTTTGCTGTATTTATCTCCTTGGGATTCAGTTTCCTATATATTATTCTATATATAAGATATAGTTTTCCCAAGATACATATATATTCCTTTACAGGTTAAATAAAAGCAAGTCCCACTGAATAAGAAAATAAGAGGAAGTAACATTCTAATTCTCTACCCATATCTTTTTTTTGTTCTTTTTTTTTTTTTTTTTTTTTTTTCCAGGTAAAAATAGCATGAAATACATTCAGTAGCAAAGCAGTTGGAATCCAGGAGAAGTGGAGAGCCCTGTATTCCTGGAGGATTAACCTGTACGTCTTAAGTCATGATCCTGAAACAACTTGTGTAGACTTCTGAGTTGAGAAAGATAGGATCTTGATCAATGCTGATAATTAGTCATCCAGTTCCAAATTCTTTGTATTTCCCTAAATCCACCTATGGATTAGCCCAGTTTTAAAGGCTGCAGTGATGTCTACTACATAATCCATTTTGAAATGTCCAAAAATCAGTGCTTCACTGTGTCTCCCCTTAGTGTTGTTACTTGGAAGGAGGTAAGGGACAGCTCCCAGTAGGATGGTAGGGTAACAGATGGAAATAAATAGAACCTTAGTTCAATCCTTTGCATTTGAAAGAACAACGTGATGCCTGGTGCTGTGTGTACCCACGGTGCTGGGTACACTTGGCATTGCATATCTCGTGCAGCCAGTGTTTGAGCAACAGCCCTTTCTGCAGGGTTTAGCTGTAACAGAGGCATGCTGGTCAACCAGAATGACATACAGTAAGGTTTTCTCTGTAGCAGCTGGAAAAAAACCCCAGCATTGTAAGACAAGAGAGTTTCTGGTTTCAATGCCAAAGGTATTTAGGCTTACTAGATCATGTAGAAGTATGCCAATTATCCCTGAGTCTAACAGTAAATCAACGTAAGAGGTATAATTCTCCCACGCATACAAGCAGTTCTGTGGATTTCACTGCAACTACTTAAAACAAAGATGGGAACAGTCCTGTTTGTCGTGAAGAAAGCATCAATTTCTCATGCAGCTTTTAAGTTTTAATGCCAGTAATTAAGATTTTCATTTAACTCCAAGTGCCCTGTTCAATCGGTGAGCGATACTGTGACTCTGAAGTCAATGGGATACTTCATGCTTTGTCAAAGGGCTGAATTATTCCTGCTCTTGATGTTGGAGCTCCCTCTCCTGTTGTACATGGCTGTCTTTATTCTGTGTTGTTTTTCACACAATGGCACAGATTTAAGTGTCTATTTTAGGGAGGAAACAAAAAACAAAACAAACAAGTTCTTTAAGGTGCCTAACAAGAAAAAAAATCATTTATCTGACTTGTAACTTGGCTGTGGCAACCTATAGAATGTAGTAATTAATGGGCGAGGCAAGAACGTGTTTGTCAGCTGTCAATACTGATTACATGGCTGACCAGCTTTCCCGTAGTGATTTCACTGAACATTAAAGCCTATGGGCTCCAGGGATTTTGCAGTTCCTTGGATTAAAGCCACCCACCGTATTTTTGTTTTTAAGTCTCTCTAGGTAGATTTAGGATTTGTTAAAGTACATGCTGTTGCTTTTCAGTACTGAGCCACAAAGATGAGACTAGTTCACAGATGTACCATGTAAGTACCTTGCTTCATTGACCCTGTAAAGTGTTACAGTCAAAGTAAACACTTCTTTTTAAAGTGGAAAAAAGATAAGCAGCTTTGTTTGTTTTTCCATACTGGACATCTCAGGAGCAATTTGTATCCAACAAGATGAAACGGTTATACTAAAAACATTCTTTGGAAGCTTATCCCTAATGAAAGTAAAGGCTTCATTCCAGAGTTGTGCAGTCTCAGTAAAATTAAAACTAGATTTAGTTCCATAAAGCTGTATTGAAAGTAATTTTAATTTTTTAAATGGACACATAGTTTGATACTGAATCAGGAAAAAAAAACAACTAATCACTCCAGTCTTATGAGCTACGTTCCAGTGCCACACGAAAGTAAGATTGGTATTTCCTGCTGAAAATCTCAAGGTTGAGCCAGCTACCCCTGACAGACCAGTTGCCCTGGAATATGAGCGTGTCTGTAATCGACTGCTGAAAGGACTAATTAAAAG